GTTCGGCGAACGTTCGTACAACGTTGGCACAACGTAATTGTGCTAGCTGGGAAACTTTTTTGGAAAAAAAAAACACAAACTTTTTTTTGGAAAAAAAACACAAACTTTTTTGGAAAAAAAAAACACAAACTTTTTTTTGGAAAAAAAACACAAACTTTTTTTGAAAAAGAAACACAAACTTTTTTGGAAAACAAAACACAAACTTTTTTTGTGGCCGTACACGTGTACAATTAATTGTACAAGATGGCAGACGCGAATATTGCTGTGAGTGATTTGAATAACTATCTTTCATTTCGCCAAGGCATTGATCTTGAAAGAGATAAATTAATCGAGCGATATTTCAAGCTTGGATTGAAATATAAAGAGATATGTCTTTTTCTTCTCTCCTTGCAAGGCATTGAAATCAGTGTACGCCATCTCAAAAGAATATTACGACAACGACAGCTAGGACGTAGACGTAATCCAAGCTTGCATAGTAATGATGTTTATGAAGCTTTGCATGAGGAAATTGAAGGTAGCGGAAGTTCTATTGGTTATAGATATGCATCAACGACTTCGTAGTTGTCATGCCACAAGATTCAACGGGTATAACCATCTATCGCTCCATGGATACAAAATCCGAATGGTTTAAGTTTATCGTATCCGTCTATATATGTACATGTGCCATATATAATTCGGCCCCTTGCATACGTATCTTCGTCGTTGTAAGCAGTGCCTAGAGCGTGCTTCAACTCCAGCTGGATCTAAAATTTTTAACGCGTGTCTTACTGTTTCTCGTGAGACGACAAGATTATGACAGTTACGAAGTCGTTGTTGCATTGATCTATAAACCAATAGAACTTCCTCTACCTTCAATCTCCTCATGCAAAGCTTCATAAACATCATAGTAGATAAACATCATAGTAGGCGAGCTTGGATTACGCCTACGTCCTAGCTGTCGTTGTCGTAATATTCTTTTGAGATGGCGTACACTGATTTCAATGCCATGCAAGAAGAGAAAAAAAAGATATATATCTCTATATAATTCAATCCAAGCTTAAAATATCGCTCGATTAATTCATCTCTTTTGTCAAGATCAATGCATTGGTGAAATGGAAGATAGTTATTCAAATAACTCACAGCAACTGACTCGTACCCAGTCGTCAATTACGATTTATATAGATTAGTGTACGGAGTTTTGCGTTGCATGGTGGGAACGACGAAGAAAAATTGACGACTGGCAGATCACAAAGAAACATGGCGGAAACAGTAATGGCGGGCGCCAACGATGATTGTGTAAATGCAGCGAGACTTCACGAGAGGCCGTTTCATGCCGCCTATATAAATGAAAAGATTCCATGTCCTCTTCCGCAATGTAGACGAGATTTTCGAAATGATTTTTTTGAGGTGAACGGGCTCGCTCAGCATGTTAGAGCGAAACATAGTGGTGTAACTTTCACAGACAAACACGTGGATGAAGCAAAATGCGTGCTAAAGTCATTGCATGGCGAAGAAACGAAGAGCCACTTGGAAAAGTTGTCTACCGCGCGTCGTAACCTGGTAAGCACAATGTTTGCGGACATATATGCAAATTTTTTTTCTGTAAGGACGCGTCATAATACATGTTGTCATGTTGACTCAAAGCTGTTTATAATTTACATATTTTTAGAAGAGCGAACCTTACATCGGATACAATGTATTTACGAAGCACGGGGATTGTCACAATTTATATGTCGCTGCAAAAGATGCGAAAGAGGCTGCTAAACTTGTTGGAATGGTTCTATTGCATTTTGGATATCTGAAACCATACTCCAAGGGCAACAGAGGTGAACCAATTGATGTAAAAGGAGGAAACATCACTGCCACTTTCAATGTGTGGTTTTCCACCAAGACGGAGTCTGGTAAAGATATGACTGTGGTCATTGCAGAAGCCACATTTGTGAAGAAGGTAGGAACTTATTATGTTAATAGATACAGGTATATATTTTTTATATAAAAACTTGCTAGTGCAATTTGAGAAACAGCATAATTCTTCGTTGTTTTTTTTTCAAATATTTGTGGAAATCCTAAAAGCAAGCGATGATAAATTACAATCAAATTTTGTTTACTGGCAGTTTTTTTACATGTAATAGTTCTAGTTCATTCTATATTTGTCACCACAAATCACTGACTACATATAATCATCCAATTTATACTTGATTACACTTTTATTAAAAGATGCTGTAAAGTTCGCAATGTAAACAAACGCTTTGTTTACATTTCTGAACTGCTATGTTTGTAAATATGATATACTAACTGCATTATCTAACACTTTTCCTATGTTTCAATTCAAAAAAGTTTGATTTTATAGCATCTTTGAAGATGATCCACTCCTTTCTGCACATCAGTTCTGCTCATAACAAAGCGGGACACCCAGGCAGATATAAACATTGCCCAAATTTTGCATCTTTTTGTTTCATCGAACTTTTTGTTGAATTGAAATGTACAGTCTATATTCATTTACAAGTATAGCGAACCAGAAAAGTGTTAGCTAGATATTCAGTTAGTATTTTTCAAATATAGCAGTTCAAAATGAAAACAAAGTTTGCGCATGTGCACAGGAGTGGACATCATCTTTAAGTTCTGTAGTAAATTTGACATACATGCAAATGATGTGAATATATTTGTTTTTATAGGATTTATATGTGGACGCAACACCATTGCAGAAAGAACATTGCCATAGGAACAATGTCAATACGGCTGCTATCCAACCTTCTGGTGATCCGAGTCTCGACATTTTACGTGCCATGTTCCAATTTGAAAGTTTTAGGGGATTACAAAAACAGGCAATTGACAGTATTTTACAAAGGAAAAATACCCTACTTGTAATGCCAACAGGAGGAGGAAAAACTTTATGTTATGCTGTCCCTGCCTTATTGCAAGAGAAAGTGACAGTGGTTGTTTTCCCCTTGCTGTCATTGCTAATTGACCAATGCCAAAGGTTTCGTTCAAAGGGAATACCTGTCTGTTATGTTATGTCCGAGATGGACATGCAGGAAAGAGAAACTGCGTTTCATAAGCTAACATCCAGCCCACTTGAGTACAAGTTTTTATTTGTCACCCCAGAGACTTTACTGTCGAACGAAACTTTGTCACGATTGCAAGACTTGGCTGAAAAGCAATTACTTAATTTTATTGTGATTGATGAAGCCCACTGTATCGATTCATGGGGATTTAACTTCAGGCCCAGTTATCGGGAACTTTGGAAATTAAAGGAATTTGGAGTGCCTATTGTTGCTATGACAGGTAAGCTGGAATGACCCCATTGTAAAGCTTTAATAGTAGAGGTCCAGCCTATAGGCTGTTGTGGTATTGGAAAATTTAGATATATTGAAGAAAAAAATGTCGACTACTGTATATAAAAAATATACAAATTAGTAAAGTTACAAAATATTTAGTACTATTTAAAACACCAGTATGAGTGTTTTATCAGATATAAAACATGAGGCGCAGCCGAGCATTTTACGTTTGATAAAACATGACAACAAGTGTTTTGAATAGTTTTAAATACAACTACAAAAGAATACTAATGAGGATGAACCATTATGTAATCACACTAATGAGGATGAACAATTATAT